ATAAAATGATTGATTCACAAAAATTCATCTGATAACATAAAATATCGTTAACTAACCAATAAAGTGAATTGATTAAATCATTAAGTGATGGTCTTCTTGTAGGTAAACTTTGGTTATTGATTTTCCGTTCTCATAAACAAATAATTTAAAGATACAAAATTAAAGTTAAAAGGCTGATTTGTCAATTTGATGATGATAAAAACGATGAAATCAATCTTTTAATTTCAGTACGTGGGTATGTGCAGATATATATATATATATATATAAATGCATGCCTTGAGGAATTTTTTTTTTAAAAAAATATTAATCCGGAATAGCTTGATTTTATTCTTCCAAAAAAGAAGATTTGATAAAACATATGGTGCGAACGTAAAAAATTTTTTCCATTAAGTTTATTATTTTGTTAATAACATAATAATGATTATTGTTTATCAATACGTACATACACACACATGCATACATAAATATATTAATAATAATTAATATTAATATTTTTACACGTAAATAATTACAACACATTCGATATTTACTCAATCTTCAATTTCCATTTACTGTTTTATGTTTTTTTGTCGCAGGTTCGCACGTTCGTTAACTCCCTCCCCCTTCGATTACATAATAGGAAATAGTGGGTTTGACAAATTAAAATGTTTATTAAAGACTTGATAAAAAAAAATTTTATGTGGTGAAACAAACCAAGAATTACAGTTTTGATACGTTTTAATACGTATTTTTAGAATAAATATATTTACTAAAACGGGATTAGGCTTCATCAGAGAATGAATGAATGAGAATGCATGAACAATTATTAAATTGAAGTTTTTAGAAAATATTTGTTTCTACGTGAAAAAATCATGATCACCACGACAAAAGTTTTATATTTTAGATCAAATTTGGTAAATTATTTTATGTAAATAAATAATCAAGCCAAATGAACACATGAACAAACATAATCCCTCCTGTATTAGATAAGGGAATGTATATGTTACTACTACTGTATTTATTTTCAGGTTCTTTATCATCATGCATCCAAAATTAAAAAGAGTAACTTTTTGTTTATTGCATTAATCAATTATTTTAGAAAAAAAATTTTTTTTTTTTGAAGCTCCTCAATTGATTAAAAAAAATCCGTTGTCTTGGGAGGGGAATGATATACATGACATTTGAAAACACAAAATAGAAAGTTTGTCACTCCACGAAATTTTGAAAAAGGGAAATTATGATCCAAATTGCATAAGTTCCACCCACACACAACAGTTAATTAGTAAATTATAAATCATTAGGTAATCAATTAAATAATAATCAAATAATAAATAATGATAATAACAGTAATAATAATAATAATAATAATAACAATAATATAGATTTCTTCCTTTTTTAATTAATTAATGTTAATGCTCAGAATATGTATTATAAATTAATTAATTGCAACTTGCGCACCAAAAAAGATTGTGAATAAAGGACGCGCATTTAATTGATTATTGCTTGGCTTAAAAAAAATTTGCAATGTAAATTTACACATGTTAAATTAATATTACAACTAATATTAATATGGTCAAAAATCACATTCGAAAAAACCGACGAAACTTCTGGAACTTGGGTTTTTCTTTTGTACTTTGATGTTCTAATACGCGCAATAAGTTATATCGTCGTTCTTTGGGAAAAAACAATTTCCGTGACTTTCCGAGGTGACGGAAAAAGGGAAGCATTCATTTTACCAACAATCATCATTTTATCGACAACCCAGGGTTACATTTAACCTCCACATAACCAAACAACTAAATAAAATGCTAAAATGGAACGCCGCTACACCTCGGGAATTGTTTTTCCCACCTATGCAGAAGAAAAAATAACGGGGAAAGCCAACAAAAATAAATGTATTGATCTTCGTTATCATAACAATGAATTGGAAATTCATTGTTTGATCAATTATCACCATCACTCCATAAAATAATATTTATCATCAAAGCACCCACATTAATATTGCGGGGAAGAAAAATAATCGCATAATTTAATTAATATTAATATAAATTTATTAAGAATTTTTTCGTAAAATTCGATCTACAAGAAAAGATAAAGAGAGTACACACAATTTTATAAAAAATCTATTTGTAAGAGTAACAATTTATATATTTACAACTTTTACAAGAAGAAATAGACAATAAAGACTTTACTAGAAAATAAAAATATATATTAAAAGACAAAATTTTAAGATTTTTTCTCATAAAAAAATAACAGTATAAACAAATATTTACAAAATAAATTAAAATAAAAAAATTTTTTTTTTTTTTTGATGCTTTTCAATTCTCTCTCTTTTAATTTCGAAAAAAAAAAAAAATAATATATATATATATATATATTGTGTATGTAAAAATAAAAGAAATTTTCGCGTGTATATAACCTTTTTCAAATATTTTTTTTGTGAATTATAAATATCAACACATTTACCCAGACTTGTATGTGATTAATAATAAAAAATGATGGTGGTGATGATGACGTTAATGAACATTAAAATCTTAGAAAATCTTAAAATTAAACTTAAAATATAACATATATATATAAATATAAATATAGAAATTCGTCCATACCCAAAAACATAAATTAATTAACTAATAGTAGAAAGAAAATGAAAGAAGAAATAAAAAAATTTTAACGGCGAACACGATACGATATAATAGTTTTTGTCTTTTCCACACGATTTTTTTTTTGTTTTCATGTTAATATCATGATTTACTTTTGTTTGCCACTAAATTGCGATTTTTTTTTATCTATTAAAACAATTAAAAAATTATTATTGTTTTTTGTGTGAGAGATCAAAAAAATAGATTCGACAGACTACCTACTTAGTTTGTACTATTTGCCAATTCATTATTAACAGCACGGATTTTTGTAAATTTCCAAATAATTTGGATTATTTATTTTTTATTTATTATTAAAAAGTGGAACTGATCTTTCAACAGAAAAATAAAATTTCTAGGTCTTTAAATACCTTATTTTGTTATCAAGGTTGAACTTTAATATAATGAAAAAAATTATATATATATTAATCTTCTTTCTATAAACGATAACTTACATATATATTTAACTAATTATTTAAATGACAATAATAAATCTGATAATTGATGATCTGGTACTGATGGTTATAATGATGACCTTTTGCAGATTTAGACTTCTATAAAAATTATATAATGGCTGGCATCCATCAAATAGCATTAATAAATAGTGTTTACCAATTTAGTGAAATAAGAAAAAAAACTCTATTTCATCATTAATTTGAGAATTGGTCTCATTAAAATTATCCCACTAAAATTTAAAGCGAAGGAAAGCCTTTTTGCATGAAAGACGATACTACCAATACATATTTATATATATTATATTCTGTTTATGTGAGTTTTGCGGTAATCACCGACAATTATAGTGTAATTAATTGAAATATCACCAACTTTTCGTCATTATTTTTCATCAATTTACAATGATAATAAATCCATATGATAACCTATACATACATCCATATATATATATATATATGCAATGCCCGAAGATGATCTATTAAGAAAGTTTTAATTACTTTTTTTTTTGTGAATGGAAAATTCAGTCAATAAATGCTTTATTGGTAGTATGTCTTGAATGTAAAAAGCAGATCAAAATGGTTTCTTTATCACAAAATTTTTTTTTTAAGTTTTAACTTTAAAATAATTAATTAATTCTTAAACCCCTCGTACTTTAATTTTATGACGAATTGAAAATTAAAAATGTGCACAAAATAAGTAAGCGTAAATATGAATAAAGTTAATTTTCAAAAAATAACATAAACAAAGATTGACATTTTTTAATCATTTGTTTGTTTTGTAAAAAAAAAAATGATAAAAAATAAAAAATAAACAAATAATAATAATAATATCATGAAAATTATGGTAAATCCTGGACAAATTTTTTTCGATTAAGCAAGCATTACATAAGAAGCATCAGATGTGCATAATCTAATTACGGGTGATTTTTTCCCCAGAAAATGAGCTTTTATAGTGATTGGAGATGGCCGTTGCTTAAAATATTATTTTAAAAAAATCACGTTTCATCATTATTGTCGAATGCTAATTATTAAACAACTTTTGCCAAAGAAAAAAATTACATTCATTATGATAATATTATCGTAATTATGTTGACAACGATGATAATAAATAAGAAAAACGAACAAACAAGTAAACAGATGGATTGGATGGCGATGATGATGACCTTATGTATATAATAATAATAAATAATGTTTGTTTATGTCCGTGCGAGCGCGCGTCAATACCAAAATTATTATTATTGTCATTATCATTGTTGTTGTCATTGTCGTTGTCATCATCATTACTGTTGGAACAATTTATTTATTTGTTCTGAGTAATTCAGGTTTTATCACTTGATCTGCTGTGTGTGTGTGTGTGTGTGTGTGTGTGTATATACACTTACTATTTTAATAATATCGATCCGTAGATTGATTATATATATCTCACTGTTTAGATCATATATACAATCAATCACACATATAAATAAATGATTTGTTACACGGTTAGAACCTTCTATTCTTATTCAACACAATAATTAATTTTATTCTATTGCGCGCTCGCTCAATTTACATTTTATACTTATATAACGTTAAAAACCCTCTCATTGAAAATAAATTTTTTTTTTTAAAAAAAAAAATTTATATCATAGCGTAAACCATAAAAATCTTTATAGAAATAATTGGTTTCATAATGTTTTAAGTATTTTAACCAAAAAACTGATCAAATTACTTTTACGTCTATGGTAAAATCGAAGAAAAAAAAGAATATGTTTTGTATGTATGATGTATGTGTGAAAAAATAATTGAAGATTTAATTAATCTCGCGCGTTTGGGGAAAAAATAGTTATTAATAAGGATAAAAAATTCCATCTCTTGATATATTATTTTAACAAAAAAAAAGGTTTTATGACTGAATTATAAAAATAAACGATTATCGAAAATCAAAATTCATTATTTATAAAAATGATGATGCATCACCTAAAATAAATAATATTTTAATTCAAATAGTTATATGTGAGTAAAACGAAACTTTCTTGTATAAGGTTTATGACGTGTGAAATATTTTCATGCCTACCAGAATTTATTCTCCAAAGAATATCACGAAACATATTGGGAGATGGTGATGGTACGATTAAAGGATTATTATATTGATAATTATTAAACACATCTAATTTTTTTTAAAGTTAATTTACACCAATCAATACACACAAAAATTTTTACCCAAAAAAAAAATTACGTACTGTATGTATTTGGTTCCAACATATTGTTATTATTATTGTATGGCATTGTAGCGGCGGTGTAATAATTTCCAATATATGATGATTCATCGTAAACATATGGAGGATGAGTATTTAATAATTCATTAAATGTATTACCATTGTAGCTGTCACTACCAGAAGTCAACCTGTTGTTTTCTTCCATGGCTAAATTTTCCAAATATGATTTGTCGATAATTGGAACGGGTGGCATTGTTGGCATTAATGTTGGCGATATTGAATAATTTATGAATTGTGTATCGATTAACATCGGAGTCGGTAGCATCGTTGACGCTGGTGATGATATCAATGACGAAGAGGAGGAGGATGATGATGATGATGATGATGATGATGATGATGATGATGATGATGATGATTTAATAGTTGTTGTCATGGGTGTTGATCCTGTTGATCCTGAGGTAATTAATGGTGAAGTCAATATTTCATTTGCAAAATATTGATCATGATTGCTAATAACAATATTATTATTATTATTATTATTATTATTATTATTATTATCATTATTTCCGTATGAATCTATTAAAAAAAACACAAATAAAAACAATTAGTTCAGGGACGATCTATCCTACAAATAATAAGTGTACAAATGTTCTTACTATTTTGTAGAAAGTTGTTTGTACTAGATATAATGAGATTATCATCTTTAGCATCTTCAACGATCCTATCATTATTGACTTCATCATTACCATCATCACACACACCATTATTCAAGTCGTCAGCGTTCACGTTAATATTTAAGTTGACATTAAGATTTATTGGCTGGGTGATTTCAGATGAAGTTTTATTCGATAGACCGACACGAAAATTAAGTTTTTCACAAACAACTATTTTATTGACTACCTTCTTCACTTTTCGTTTATGTGTGAGTGGTCGACCTTTAGGAGGCCCACGCTTTTTTTGTGGGACTAAAAATTCGCAACAGAGTTTAAGCCTTTGACATCTTTGACAGGTTGTGTTCCCCGTACATTTTACTTTCCTAATTTGGCAGTTCTTGCAAGCATTTGTCACTTTACTTCGTGTCGTCTCTTGCTTCATATTATTATTTGTGGTATTATTGAAGTCGTTCTTGCTACTTTTTTTACTATTGATTTTAGTTATTCTCGGTTGTTTTTTCATTTCTTAATATTGTATATAATTATTGACGATAAAAGGGAAAAAAAAGATGAGTTGGTTTTTGTTATTTTGTTAAGTGAAAGAGAATGAATGTGTGGGTAAATCGAAATAAAAAAAATGAAAAATTATCGGCAATCAAAAAAAATCATCATTAAAGAGTATTTTTTATATAGTACCAAATTCCTACTTTAAAAAAAATTTTTATTTATTAAGAGTTTGATAAATTTTTATTTATTAAGAGTTTGATAAAGTTTTATTATGTTCAACAAATAAATTAATTACTTCTGCCAAATTTGTTGTACATTTATTTTATTATTTTATATATTTTTATTTATTTATATGTTTAAAAAAAAAGTTTAAGATCATATTTCAATTTATTATTTTGAAGTTTCGTTAATTATTTACATACCTACCTACACATACATGTGCATTTTTCGTCTCTTTTTGAATATAATGAGCAAATTAATGGACACGCTCGATAATTCTTGATAAAAATAATCTGATTATTATATATCATAACTTTAATAATTACGTTTTTTTACAAATAAACAATTTTTTTGGCCCCGAGTAAATTTTCATAACATGTAAAGTATTTTGGCTGATTTTGAATCAAAAATAATAATATAATTCTCACTATATATATATACCGTGGAACTAATAATTAACGATGCATCTGTTTTTAGATTAGCAAGTGAGGTAGGTGACTGTCCAGCTAGTTTACATAATATTTAAATTTAGTATGTTTTTTACAACAAAACAATATCCATCTATTCAAGATTCACAGAATAAACAAACATTTAGAAAACAACTTTATTCTATTCATTTACACACACACAACACATTCGCGCGCACACACACACACAATCATTTATTCATTCAAAATCTTTGACTCATAGTGTTAGAGGCACGTGAAAAAGCATCAACCGTCGTCGTACAACAGACAATAGAATAAATCGTACTAACCAGTGTGTAAAATAGAGAGGGCGCAAAGGGCCGTGTAACATTATTAACCAATCAAATTTTGAATTTCTGGAAATAGTTTCTAAATTTATACTAGTTACACGACGACTGGTACTATATAACAATAATTATATTCTAAACAAATTAAAACCTCATTTTTATTTTGTTGCCTCGATTAATAGTTGTTTTTCCGAGGTCACCAGGATGCAACAAAAAAAGTTTAGTGTAATATGCACAATGCGGACGATGCATGACGTGCTATTGTAAAATTTCTTATTTGGACAAATTTTGAGATCATTATCAATAATAGTAATAACGACGAACGACGAGAGATCATGATATTTTAAAAAAAAATAAAATAAAATAAATGGCAATTTCTCATTTTTATTTAATAAAAATATTATTTGAAACTGTTTAAAGTGATAGTTTTGTTAAAAAATTTTTTTGCGTGGGTTAAAAATACACATGTATAATTGTTTTTTTTGGGGTTGAAATTGTATCTCGGAACAAGACGAAATAAGTCGGAAGGATACCGGCAATAAATGTTTGAAAAAAAGAATTTTAATCGGATAGATGGCTCAACTTTGTCTGCATACATTAAATGTTGTATCTAGGAAACAACAATCAGATAAAACAATGATTGATAAAACATTCTCATGATATTTGCTGATATCAATTTTATAATAATAATCATAGTATAAAATAATTATTTATTATTTATACTGAGTCAACAAAGAATATTCTTTGTAAAAGAAGAGTTTATCATTTAAAAATGAATCAAATTTAGGAAATTTAATCACAATTAAAATAGAATTAATGTTAGTCACCCTTGTTTAGACTTTGCTGCTTATATTATATTACATCATAATTAACACAGCATCATTTTTTTTATATTATAACGAGATGTTGTGTGAGTGTAACTGCAAACAAACATGCTAAGCAAAAAGACAACAGAAAACTAGAAAAAAAGAGGTTCGGTTTTCAGTGACACAATAAAAATATTTTTTAGGGGAGATTGATCAACTCAATAACAAACGCGGTTTGACAGAAAAGCCCTGTATAACGCATTTTATCATGTAATAATGACTTCATATTATGATTATTTACCTTTATGTTGGTTTAGTTATTGTGCAAAGCACATGGTAATGTCCAAATATGCTTTCGTTCGTCAACTTTCAACCTTGGAAAGTCTTGGTGGAAGAAGATAGTCCTCTCTTTAAACTATTTATACATGGGTGACTTTTCTTTATTTGTTTTTATTGTTGAGAAGCAGATATTAATAACGTTAAAAAGATAAGCAAAATATATTTACTATTTGTTATTTAAACAATACTTACTTGCTTGCAATCTCGGATGCTATATAATGTAGTGCTGTGAGATGCTATCAATTTCAAAGGGTTCCCAGAAATATCTCACTTTTTTATCAATTATTATTGCTATTACAATACTATCATCAGATATTGTAGTGAAAAAGTTATGTAATTTAAACGTGAATAATAATGAAATATACTTGTAATAATATGGTGTTTATCAATAAAAACGAGAGTGGATGAAGAATCTAGTAAGTTTTTATTTGATTAAAATTTGATTAAGATTTGATTAGAGACTGATTAAAAATTGAAAAATATAATATTAATTTAATTGAATTCAATGGATCACGTCCAATATATAGTGAAATCGTTGGTGTATAACGAGTAAGTCATATGATACTGTGTGGATTGTATAGATCCTATATTACACACACATATCAAACTATATATTATTGAGTTTAAATTTTGAAATAGAATAAAATCAGAATTTAATATGAATAATATTCAATATACAATGAATGGTTGGAATAATAAGATAATGTGTGGGTCGTAAGACGATGTGACAACTTACTATATAGCAAAATCCTATAATATTTCATTAAAATTTGTTAAAATTTGAGAATATAATGTTGATGTAATATTTAACATTATTTGGTATAGCTTGTGTTTGATAGGTACGATGAATGGTGGAGGGAGATGTGGCGGTGTTGTTGTGAAATTTATATATAGTGAGGGATCTATTATATGGCGAATTCTATTATATAGCTATATAGTGAACCGTATGGATGTGGTGAACAAACAAACGATTATATGATGAAGTTGATTTCTCTCTCTCTCTCTATATATATATATATATATATATATATATATAATATTTATATAATCTATATATTTTTTTTTAAAAAAGTGCCGAAACAAATGCTTTATTACATCAAGTATCGGTTGTATTATAAATAATATACGATACGCATAAATACGCATAATAATAATTAACTGTTTTATATATACTCGTATATTCGGTAAGAAGATTCTTATTGCTCGTGCTGTAAATAATATAAATTATAATCTAAACGTTTCTATAATAAAATCTTAGATTTTTCACTTGACTTGTAACAGACGCAACTCTTCATTATAATATATAATAATGCAAGTTTTATAACATATAATATAATATATGTAAATTCTATAAAATTACTCATTTAATCATTAACCTTGTTTTATTTTTAATAAGTTAATTTTTTTCTTTTGTCTAGAACAAACTTATTACTTCCTTGAATTTGTTGATGTATAGATAGATATAAGGAGAGATGAAGTCTTTACTATAAAAAAAAAAAAATATAGCAAATAGTTTTTTGTGTATTTTATTTTGTATTTGTATTCTTACCTTTTTGGGTAAATTGATTTTAAAATGGTTTTTTATTTTCTTTTTATATCAAATAATACACATATTTAACTATTTTATTATCCATCAAACCCCATCGATAAAAACTAGTATGAGAAATGAGAAATATACAAATAAAAAAATAAAATGTATTATTTTTTTAAAAAAAAAAAAAAATAAATAAATAATTTTGTTTTTCCCCAATTTTTATATTAAAATATCGTGATGTTTTCGATTTTATCACAAACAGCACTAACCAACCGACCACCTTCTCCGACGTAATCCATTATGATAACAAACTGGTGTTGATTAGTAAACCATTGTGCTCAATGAAAATTATTATAGATTTTTTTGAATCATGCACGATTCAACTAACCAAACACCTAACGTTTTAAAGAAATCTTCTTTTTAAAACCTTCAATCAGGGAAGCTCTTTCCTAAAATGAAGGAGGATAAACAAATCATATCGAAAATGAACCGGTACTGCTTGCTAGACATACAGCCAAACCCAATGTTTAACATTTTTTACGTGAAAAATAATAACATCAATCAATCAATAAAGAATTCGAAAAATTTAAAGACCCTGACCCTATGTTATTAGTGAAGCAACTATAAATATCCGACCACCCAAGTTGTGTAACGTCAAAGGAAAAGAATCCTTACTAAAAAAGTAACGTTTTCTTAAATCAAAATCTATAAATTACAAAAGCTTCGAAAGGTTCGGTATGGTATTAATGGAAACATTTACCAAATAAGGTCAAATTTCTTCATTGTAATGTATAATATTATTTCATTAATAAAATTTGCTCAACGTAACAGATCACATATATCCGCGATATGGTGTTGGCATAAATTAGTTCGTGAAAAGGGTTTAAAAAAGTATCCGACCACCCCGTAATTTTATTATATAAACACTTAAATAAAGTTGACAAAATGCAAATTTTAAGGCTTTACGTTTTGTTGTCTATACTTGATCAAATTTTAACCATATATATTTTAAGTGGACTTATTTAATGATGTAATCCATGATTCGACAGAGTTTTGAAGGTTTTTACTAAGCTCAAAGTTTTATAAAAATCACGGAATTTTTTATCTAATTTAAAATTTTCATTCTAAATTCATTAATAATGCAAATTCGACGAGACTTTAAGTTTATATATATATGCAAATTAACTTTAAAAAACATGTTTACTTGATGCACCAGTCCCGGTTTGATTAATAAAATTTTGAACTGCATAAGGCGTAACATTTACGATTATTAAAATGATCATCAGGTGGTCGGATATTTATGGTAGTCAACAGGTTTGGGGGAGAGAATACCTGAAAAGGAAAGATGTGTGAGACCCATATGCGAAAACCAACCCACCATCAATCCTAACTGCAAGGTGATCGTCTGCACCGAGGTACACTAGTAAAACTTGTGTTGGACCTTCAAAGACCTTTAGATGTGCGTTCTGCAAATCAAACATTTGTTAGAAAGGGTAAACGGAGCTCGCAATATACTTTTTTTAAAAAAAAAGTATAATAATATTACGGAAAAAATCACACGGTCTTTTTTTTTGTTTTTTTGACCTCGCTCAATATAGATAGTAGAAGCAATTAATGATTAATGATAGTAATAATAGTAAAAAAATAGATTATTATTATATTATTATTACTATAATCCGTTTTATTTTAACTTTTAATATATACCAATTTGGTTTAGATTCAATTTTATATTTATTTTTGGGGAAGCGGTGGGAAAAAAGAATAATACAAATGAAGTAATTATTGTATTAAATAATTAATATTAAAATAATTTATTTTTATTTTTTTATAGGGTTGTTTTTTTAAAGTTTCAAGTTTCATAAAAAAAAATAATTAAAATTTAACAAATTTGTAGAGAAATGCGGAGAAAAGGTTTTAAAAAACGGAATAATAATAATAATAAAAAAAAAAAGTCTTAAAAAAAATTTTTTTTGGAAAATTGACATAATTTGACAACGATTTCTTTTTTAAAATATTCGAAACGAAATAATCAATTTTAAAAAAAAAAATAAATAAATAAAATTTGATACGAAAAAAAATAAAATAAAATTAATTTTTTATACAACGAATTTTTTCTAAAATAATAAAAAAATCTAAAAAAATTTTCATTTTATATACAATCAATGTATTAAAGTAAATTATATTACGCATATGCTGCGATTAATTAATTACTAATATTAATTAATCAATACAAGTATTGAATCTGATAGCAATTGTTTAATGATGGATTATCCTGAAATTGATTTTGATCGTGAAATTGTGATTCGGATTGTTCTTGGTATAATAAGTTTTGTGGTTGATAATTACTACTACTACTACTACCACTATTATCACTATTATGGTAAATGTAATTTGTATAATTTGATGGTATTATAACACCGTTGTTATTATTAAAATTATTGTTGTAAATATTTTGAATAAAAAATTCATCGGGTTGGTAACTTTGATTGGTAACATATAGTGGTGGTGGTGGAATAGAATAAGAAGTGGAAGAAGAAGAAGAAGAAGAAGGTATTATTGATGTTGATGACAACGGTGAAGATGATGGAGATGAAGAAGTTGATGAAGATGACGACAAAGAAGAAATTGATGGAGATGAAGATAATAATGTATAATAGTTATAATTATTGATTTTTTGATCTAAACAATTTTCAAGATGATGATAATTATCGTTAACAAGATAATTCGAAGCTGAATAATTTGAATTGCAGATGTAATCTTGATTTGAATTTTGATGATCATGATCATAGTCATCATCGTTATCAACAACATTGTTGTTATTGCCATTGCTATTTATATTACCGTCCTTATTATTGTTATTTCGTGAAGATTTTTTTGAAGATTTCATCGTTTTGTTATGGTAGGTTTTGGCATGATTTGCGAGACGTTTATATGCAGCTTGAACATATTCAGGTTCGTGATTCCAGAAATCCGAAGCCAATTTGGATATTAATCTCATATTAAAATCTTGATAACCAAGTTCACGAAGTGTTTTGATTAGTGCAGTTCTATACAATAGAAACTGGTTTGTTGCTCTAATAGGAATTCTTCCTCTTTTCATCTGGGGTAATAAATCTTTTTTGCTGATTGGAGGTGGAAATGGTATTTTGATTTCACCAGGTGCGGGAAATTTGATCGTATTGTTATTGTTAGTATTATTATTATTATTATTATTATTATTATTAGCAGCAGTAGTAGTAGAGTTGGAGGAAGAAGGAGAATGAGAAGAAAATGGATGAGAATTATTAGAATTGATAATTTCATCATTATTATCATTATTATTGTTAATATTAGAATCAAAATGAATGTTTTCCGACATATTTTTTTGTTTGATATTTTTTTAAATTTTTTTTTTAAATCGAGAAAAAAAGTATGTAACTAATTTAGATGTTTTTATGAATTTTATTTTTTTTTTTTAATTGATTGATGGCTTTTTGATGTTGATGAACTTGAGTTTTTATAGGAAATAACGAGCCAAATGTTGCACGGATGGATTAATATATATATATAATCGGATAAATAACAACAGATAGTCGGATAAATAAAACAACTGAAATAAACAAATCGAATTGAATTACTAAGGGCTGACATAATATAAGTATAATAATTGTAATATTTAAATAATGATGAAATTTAATACTAAATAAAAATAAATAAATGCATAATAAATTATTTTTTTCGGAAAATCCGCACAATTATTTATTTGACGCAAGGTAAAGGGAAAAAAGCCGAATTTCTAATTAAGGAATTTACAAGATTTTAAAGTTCTTACAGTTTTTATAAAGACTTTAAGATTAATATATATATATCGTAAATAAAATAAATAATAAACAAACAAGCAAGTTAATTATTAATATTTAATTTCCACAATGATCTGCTGCATTTTTTAAAAAATATTCCTTATCATCATCATCATCATCATCATCATCCATCATTTTTTAATTATTATTACATACATACATGCGTTAAAAAATTTTCTGGAAATGCTCATTTACTGTTTCAAAAATAAAACTTAATTTAAAAAATTTGTTGTCTGAGCTTTTTTACAAATGATTGATTTGTGATGCATTCATTCATTTATTCCAACATGTTGGATTACACGAGCCAATTTTATTGGTCAAATCTGACGGTCTATTGGGTAACGATGTTACCAATTCCTTACATAATCTTAATATTCCAAGTAGAAATAATGTTTTTTGAAGTAAATAAATTAAATACACATGTTTGGTTTGTGTGCGTGAGAGAGTGTGTATAAGAGAGTGTTGTGCGTGTGTAATTTGAAAATATAAATATAAAGAAAGTGGAATTTCCCTCTTTGCAAAAAAAAAATCTTGTGCTTAAATATGATTCGTCCTGCTGAAATAATAGATTATTGTGGTTATTGTAATAATATTAAATATTAATTAATTGAAAGAGTGTGTAATTCTTTGGAAGAATGGCAAATCTAAACAAAGCAAATCAATTATTGTTATTAATACTAATATAATGAATGATCTCTTTTTTAGAAATTTATTTTCCGTGTGCTTTACGTAATTGAGAATAAAAATAAATAATTCTCCACGTTTATTTGTTTTGTTTTTGTTTGTTTGTATGTTTGTTTGTTTGTAACATATTATTTATAATCGTGGATTACTAATACTAATACTATTATCGCTTCTATTTCTGTATTGTAGATTTTCTTTCTACATATATACATTTTATTTCGTCAATGAATTTTGGATTGAGGCTAGAAGGTAGTGGTAGTGGTGGGCAGTGGACCAATGTTGTAGTGTTACTTGATGATCTTGGAGTTGAGATAAAATTTGTCAAAGAATGGGTTCTCTGAACACCCGAGGCATTATTACGCAACTGTTTTTGGGTATGACAATCATCCTTAAATGGGATATTAGTAAGAAAATTATGTAATGATTCCCCAGGGTCCTTCATACCCCTTGTAGTTGATGTTGATCACGGAGCTTGTGCTACTGAAGTTAAATTAACGCAACACGTGTTCCTTTTTTTGGCTCCACAAAAAAAAAAAAAAAATCTGGCAAAGAATTATTATTCTGACTGATCATGAATATGTTAAATGTTTCAAGGTTTAGATTTTCCAATAGACTATTTTTAACAGGACCTTGTTTTTTAAAAGGAAGGATAAATATTGTAAATCTTAATCATCATCATTATAATAATAATAATAATATAAATCTTCATATGCCTTCCATCACCGCCTTCACTACATTATTACCGATACCGAAGTTTAATTCAACCAATATGTCTAATCAATTAATTAAAAAAAATCAACTCGTATTTTTAAAATTACGAAATACTATACGTAAAATAGCTTTAAGTGTTTTGGGTTTAACTACTGCTACCACTATACTAGCTGTAACATGGTCGGAACAATATAGGGATAAATTTACCTTGATTTGTGCTGGAATTTTTCGATCTACTGCAACGTTGGCTGTTTGGTACGAGGTTCGAATTGATTAAGTTTTCATTTATTTATTTCGTTTAAATATTATATATATGTGTGTGTGTGTGTGTGTGTGTGTGTGTATATATATACACACAACCTTCATATTTATTAATTTAATATTTACTAATATTGTAGTTGCCTTTGTATGTTGGATTATAAATGGTTATATTTTGAATATAGAAACAAAGGTTATAAATCAGAGGAATATAAAGCTGCTCAAAAAGTTGTACATTTATGTGTAGCAAAGAGATTATTAAACTTGTGTAAACTACACACTGGAATTTATATTAAAGGTTTTTTTGAATCAAACATAAAATTATTAATTTTTATTTTATTATTTAAAAACGATAATAATGATTTGATTTGATTTGTTATGTTAGGAGGTCAACATCTTGCTTCTTTAACTTTTATTATACCAAAAGAATACACTGGTTGGTTAATTTATCAAAAAATTATTTTATTTTATTTTATTATTAGTTTACAACAATAGTTTTAAATAAATTTTTCTTGATAGATACATTATCCATTTTACAAGATCGTGCACCTTATAGAAATATGGATGATGTAAAAAAGATTTTTTATGAACAATTTAATGGACTAACTCCTAAAGATTTATTTTCAGAATTTGATGAAATTCCATTGGCTGCTGCTTCTTTGGCACAAGTTCATAAGGGTAATTACCACCTACCTATTTATATATATATATATATATATATATATATACTAATTAATTAATTAATTAATATTAATTAATATACAGCTAAAACAAAATATGGGGATGAAGTGGCAGTTAAAGTTCAATATCCTGATGTTTATAGACTGTTTAATGTGGACATTTGGACAATGCAAACAATGTCAAATATTGTTTCTTATTTCTTTCCGGAATTTGAATTGACTTGGATCATAACAGAATTTAAACAAAACTTGATTTCTGAATTTGATTTTGAGAAAGAAGCAAGAAATGGTGAACTAACTAAACAAAGATTCAGACATCATGCAAATGAAATGTCCATCCCAAAAATCTACTGGGATTTGACTACAAAAAGAATTTTAACAATGGAATTCATACATGGTGTCAAAATTAATGACATTGATGGATTAAAAAAAATTGGTGCAGATCCTAATTGGGTTCGTAATATATTATTAGAAATATTTGCAGAAATGATATTTTGTCATGGAGTGATTCATTGTGACCCACACCCTGGAAATGCTCTGGTGACAATTTCTCCTAAAACCAAAAAACCTCAAATTGTTCTTTTAGATCATGGATTGTATAGAGAATTGTCTGATGATTTTCGTAAAACTTATTGTGATTTATGGAAAGCTCTTGTTCTGAACGATTCCAATGCTTTGAAAGTTGTGTCTGAATCTTTGGGTGTCCCTCAATATATTCAGTTTCTTCCATTGATTTTTGCTCAACGTATCTCCGACTCTTCCACACCTCTAGGTGAAGACATGTCTCTTGAAGAAAAAAATATTGTTCGTGATCAACTTCATAATATAACTTTAAGTGATTTCTTTGACTTTCTAGAAGCATTACCACGTGATGTATGTGTTTTGCCTTTTCTCATTTATTTTCTTACAAAAAAAAAAATAAACCATAATATGGATTATTTACATATAAATTATTTTTTTAAAATAGATGTTACTTGTTTTTCGTACTATTAATCTAGTTCGAGGTATACATCGTCAACTTGGTGGTAGTTCGATTGAAAGTTTTAAAATGAATGCATATTATGCTATTCGAGGATCATGGTGTGAAACAAGAGAGGAAGAATTTAGCAGAGTTGATCATGCAAATAAACTTGGAATAAAAGGTGATGAATCTATGATTGGCCCAGTACACAAATGGTACTTGTTTGGTAGCACTCCGAATTTTGCTAGAAGTTTAGGTTTCATCAAGGATCTTATAGTTTTAACTGTGCGAATATATATGGCTGAAATTGCTATTAGGATTTGGAGATGGTGGTATTTTTTTTCAAGATCAATAGGATCACCTTTAGTGATCAGTTTATAGAAAACAATGAGTATTTAAATCAATAATACATTGCATGCATATATAAATTTTTTTAATAAATTAAAATCATTCTTACATATTGCTTTAATTTAATTGTAATCCATCCATATCTGTTTTAAAGTTACTGCTAATATTTGGTTTTAAATTTGCAAAACTACATAAATAATATTATGTGAGAATTTTCTTCATCTTGTGAATACAAAAAAAGTAAGATGTTGTACATAACTTTGGTTGCTATTATAACAATAATAAAGTTTTTTTGTCATTATATAATAAAATCATTTTGTTTTCTCTCAAAAATTCATCATGCACATTGAAAAAAATTCTGTCCATTTTTATTAGAACAGCTTTATTTAGATATGAACTAACAGGTTATTGAATGAGCACATGCAACGTGCATATGGTGAATTAAAAACAGATCAATTGTAAGGATATAAAAAGGGTAAATATAAATTTTTTTTTTGAAAAATAATTACATGAAATAGCTTTCATATCAGAAAAATATTTATATCAAGATGCACAACAAATTTTCGAAAGAACCAGTTGAACTGGTTTGCTGCAAGGATTATACAGAACTGCTGAGCTC